TAAAATATCCCAGTAACTGTTTAGCTAAATGGTAAATGGCCTGTATTTGATAGAGCGCCTTTTAGAGTCCTGGAACCCCCCAAGGCGCTTTACAACACAGTCATTCACACATTCACACGCCGGTGGGGATGAGCCACCATGTAGCCACAGCTGCCCTGGGGCGCACTGACAGAGGCGCCACCGGTCCCTCCGACCACCACCAGCAGGCAAAGCTGGGTTAAGTGCCTTGCCCAAAGACACAACGACAGCAACAGACTGAGTGGGGCTCGACCCTGCAACCTTCCGATTACGGGGCGAGCTCTTAACTCCTGTTAAGCTCTTACACCTACCAGGTCCAGGTCTGTTTCTATGTCATCTGTCTGGAAAGGTGAGAACCACAGAGCTTTAAGCTGCTCATCCAACGCTTCTGACAGAATGAACACGGTCCTGCAGACACAAGTAAACAACTTCCTGTCATGGATGACGTTTCCACAGCTGTGACAGTACTAACTGGTGTCGCGGCGGACCTGTGGTTGAACTGAGCCACCAGAGTTTCAGGCGCTGGCAGAACAGGCTCGGTTTCTGCTGCAGGAGAAGCGTCTGTAGCCGCTTCCAGAGCCTGCTTCAGAACAACTGTGTTCTCCAACATGGTCTCCAGAGAATCGTCTTCTTTGCATAGTTTCTACATGGAGACACCAGTGATGAATGCAACGCTGCAGCAGCAGCAGTCTGGAGATGAATGTAGGCGAGCGTCTTGTTATACCGTTATGAGCTTCTCTAAAGAAGACAGCGGATGTGACTCGGAGTCCTCCCACTGCAGCAGCGCTTTCATCTCTGACCCCGACAGCAAACGTGGAGCAACGCAGGCCGACTCGTCGCCGGAGCCACGACTCTCCTCGGCACACTGGAACAATGTGAAGCGAAGGAAAGGAATGAGAAATGACTCAACAACAGGACTAAAACGAGTTAAAAAGCTTGGGTTTTATTTCATTTAAAGATGAAAAGATTTAAAATATCTAAAGCCTCCAACGTCATCCTGGTGTAACGGAATGAAATGACTGTTTCCCCCTCTCCTCTGACACAGGACTAGTCTGCATGAGATGTGGCCTTGAGGTCTCATGCGTTTGCTATAACCTGCTTTCTATTCAGCTCAACAGAAGAATGAAGATTGGACTCTCTCCTTTTAATAATCAAAGAACTCTATTTTAATAAGCTAATCACGCAAAGTGTTAGTCAATAAATAAGATGTGACAAATCTGTGAAATCAAAATATTAGTTACTTTATTATAATCCTATAGAATATAATAAGTAACATGACTTTAAATGTTTCCACTAGGACTGATCTCACATAGCGTTAAGACATGACACATTTGCTTTTACTGATCCAATCAGAATCTGCCAGATCAGACGGAGGCGTGGTTTTGGTGGTGTTTGGTAAATCTGTCATCTTTTCATCGTCGTCGTCTTCCTCCGCTTATCCGGGTCCGGGTCGCGGGGGCAGCATCCCAACTAGGGAGCTCCAGGCCGTCCTCTCCCCGGCCTTGTCCACCAGCTCCTCCGGCAGGACCCCAAGGCGTTCCCGGACCAGATTGGAGATGTAACCTCTCCAACGTGTCCTGGGTCGACCCGGGGGCCTTCTGCCGGCAGGACATGCCCGAAACACCTCCCCGGGGAGGCGTCCAGGAGGCATCCTGACCAGATGCCCAAACCACCTCAACTGGCTCCTTTCGATCCGGAGGAGCAGCGGTTCTACTCCGAGTCCCTCCCGAATGTCCGAGCTCCTCACCCTATCTCTAAGGCTGAGCCCGGCCACCCTACGGAGGAAACTCATTTCGGCCGCTTGTATCCGCGATCTCGTTCTTTCGGTCGTTACCCAAAGCTCATGACCATAGGTGAGGATTGGGACGTAGATCGACCGGTAAATCGAGAGCCTGGCTTTCTGGCTCAGCTCCCTCTTCCCCACGACAGATCGGCTCAGCGTCCACATCACTGCAGACGCCGAACCAATCCGCCTGTCGATCTCCCGATCCCTCCTACCCTCACTCGTGAACAAGACCCCGAGATACTTAAACTCCTCCACTTGAGGTAGGACCTCTCCCCCGACCCGGAGGTGGCAAGCCACCCTTTTCCGGTCGAGAACCATGGTCTCAGATTTGGAGGTGCTGATCCTCATCCCAGCCGCTTCACATTCGGCCGCGAACCTACCCAGCAAGAGCTGAAGGTCAGAGCTGGATGAAGCTAGGAGGACCACATCATCCGCAAAAAGCAGAGACGAGATTCTCCTGCCACCAAACTCGACACACTCCACACCACGGCTGTGCCTAGAAATTCTGTCCATAAAAGTGATGAACAGAACCGGTGACAAAGGGCAGCCCTGGCGGCGTCCAACCCTCACTGGGAACAGATCCGACTTACTACCGGCTATGCGGACCAAACTCACGCTCCTCTGGTAAAGGGACTGAATGGCCCTTAACAGAAAGCCACCCACCCCATACTCCTGGAGCGTCCCCCACAGGGTGCCCCTGGGGACACGGTCATAAGCCTTCTCCAAATCCACAAAGCACATGTGGATTGGTTGGGCAAACTCCCATGCCCCCTCCATCACCCTTGCAAGGGTATAGAGCTGGTCCACAGTTCCACGGCCAGGACGAAAACCACATTGCTCCTCCTCTATCTGAGATTCAACTATCGATCGGACCCTCCTCTCCAGTACCTTGGAGTAGACCTTTCCAGGGAGGCTGAGGAGTGTGATCCCCCTATAGTTGGAACACACCCTCAGGTCACCCTTCTTAAAGATGGGGACCACCACCCCGGTCTGCCACTCCCTAGGAACTGCCCCCGATGACCACGCAATGTTGTAGAGACGTGTCAACCATGACAGCCCTACAACATCCATAGCCTTGAGATACCCAGGACAAACCTCATCCGCCCCCGGGGCTCCGCCGCTGTGTAGTTGTTTGACTACCTCAGCAACTTCTGCCCCCGAGATCGGACAGTCCATCCCCAGGCCTCCCAGCTCTGGTTCCTCCTCGGAATGCGCATTGGTGGGATTGAGGAGCTCCTCAAAGTATTCCTTCCACCGTCCGACTATAGCCTCAGTTGACGTCAGCAGCTCCCCATCCCCACTGTAAACAGTGTGAGCGAGTTGTTGCCTTCCTCTCCTGAGGCGCCGGACAGTTTGCCAGAACCTCTTTGGAGCCGATCGATAGTCTTTCTCCATGGCCTCACCAAACTCCTCCCACGCCCGAGATTTTGCCTCGGCAACTGCCACTGCTGCACTCCGCTTGGCTATCCGGTACCTGTCTGCTGCCTCTGGAGACCACTGACCAGCCACGCCCTGTAGGCCTCCTTCTTCAGCTTGACGGCTCCCCGAACCTCTGGTGTCCACCAGCGGGTACGGGGGTTGCCACCACGACTGGCACCGGCCACCTTACGACCACAGCTAGCAACAGCCGCCTGGACAATCGCAGAGTGGAACAAGGCCCACTCGGACTCAATGTCCCCCACTGCTCTCGGGACGTGGTCAAAGCTCTGCCGGAGGTGGGAGTTGAAGACCGTCTTGACAGGTTCTTCTGCCAGGCGTTCCCAGCAGACCCTCACTATGCGTTTGGGTCTGCCAGGTCTACGCGGCATGTTCCCTTGCCATCTGATCCAACTCACCACCAGGTGGTGATCAGTTGACAGCTCCGCCCCTCTCTTCACTCGGGTGTCCAAAACATACGGCCGCAGGTCAGATGATACGACTACAAAATCTATCATCGACCTGTGACCTAGGCTGCCCTGGTACCAAGTGTACCGGTGGGCATCCTTATGTTCGAACATGGTGTTCGTTATGGCCAAACTGCGGCTTGCACAGAAGTCCAATAACAAAACACCGCTCGAGTTCAGATTAGGTGGGCCGTTCCTCCCAATCACACCCCTCCAGGTCAAGCTGTCATTGCCCACGTGAGCATTGAAGTCCCCCAGCAGGACAATGGAGTCCCCTGATGGAGCACTATCTAGCACTCGTCCCAGGGACTCCAAAAAGGGTGGGTACTCTGAACTGATATTTGGCCCATAAGCACAAACAACAGTCAGGACCCGTTCCCCGACCCGAAGGCGCAAGGAAGCTACCGTCTTGTCCCCCGGGGTAAACCCCAACACACAGGCAGAGAGTCTCGGGGCTAACAAAAAGCCAACCCCAGCCCTCCGCCTCTCACCCGGAGCAACTCCAGCAAAGTAGAGTGTCCAACCCCTCTCCAGGTCTCGGGTTCCAGAGCCAATGCAAAGTGTCGAGGTGAGTCCGACTATATCTAGCCGGTACCGCTCAACCTCTGCCACAAGCTCCGGCTCCTTCCCCGCCAGCAAGGTGACGTTCCATGTCCCAAAAACTAGTTTTCTTGTCCGGGGATTGGACCGCCAAGGCTCCCGCCTTGGTCTGCCACCCGATTCGCATTGCACCGGACCCTTCATGTTCCTCCTGCGGGTGGTGGGTCCACAGTTGGACGAGCCCATGTATCCGGTTCGGGCTGGGCCCGGCCGGGCCCCATGGGCGAAAGCCCGGCCACCAGGCGCTCGCTCACGGGCCCCAACCCCAGGCCTGGCTCCAGGGTGGGACCCCGGTAACCCTCCGGGCCGGGAACTCCGACTCTTCGCTTTAACCGCCATGAAAGATCCTTCGAACCGTTCTTTGTCTCACCCTTCACCTAAGACCAATTTGTCATGGGAGACCCTACCAGGGGCACTAAGTGCCCCAGACAACATAGCTCCTAGGATCATTAGGGCACTCAAACTCCTCCACCACGATAAGGTGACGGTTCAAGGAGGAGTAAACCAAAACATCCGAAGTATAAAACTATGCCCACGCCATCTTTAACGCCAGTTCAAAGCGTTCTAGAGAAGTTGTCGGAGTGGCCAATCCGTAACTTTCCTCTTCAGCCGAAAGAACCAACGACGAGCTGGATAAAATCTGTTGCTGTAACAACCGCTGCAACGGTTCCTTTCAGAATAAAAGCTGAACCATGACGACCCAGGTTCGGGTCTCACCAGACGCCAACAAAATTGTCGTGACCCAGAAGTATCTCACAGACTGGTCTGGTCGGCAACCGCTGCTTTTCCTACCGGCTTCGGTTCCAGAGAGGGTCCAGCTGGACCTCGACATTTCTGATCTAACGGGGGCTTCCGCTAAGGGTATGTAGGCCGGCGAAATGGCGTCGAATGTGTTTTTAAATCTCCTAATCAAAGCTTAACGCGAAGACATCACCTTCAGCTCCCATCAGAACTAATCGCTTCTTTGGATTGGCTGGTTCTGATCAACATCACACCTCACCCCATTCCCCGTCTCATCCACCTTAGTTACACCATACATTTAGTGTTAAAGTCAGTCTCGTTTAATTCGTTAGTAATAAAATTCTTAACTTTTTAAAATCAGGTTTAAGGTCATCCTGTTTGTGTTTAAGGCATGAAACTCAGGGGCACCTAAATATCTTGCTGACATCATCCACCAACACCAACGGTGCGTTCCCTTAGGTCAGCTGACCAGAGATTACTAACTGTGCCCAGGTACAGCCTGAAGTCTCGTGGGAGTCGTGCCTTTTCAGTACTTGGGCCAACTCTCTGGAATGAGCTGCCAGCTGATGTAAAACAGGCTAAGTCATTAGAAACCTTTAAAGGAAGACTAAAATCACATCTGTTCTCGCTGGCGTTTGGACTTTGAAGTTGTGGGAAGTAGGCCGGATATTGGACTGCTAACTTGCACTCAGGTTTTCGTACTGTATTTTAAACGGATTTCTTATTGTATTTTAATGGTCATTTCTCTGTCCTATTGTGGTGCTTTTTATTGGTGTACAGCGCTTTTTTTGTCCATTTTGGCCATGTGAAAGCGCTCTATAAATAAAGTTGATTTGATTTGATTTTAAACTTGACTCTCTCTTCTGTTGTCTCTGAGTGAATACGAAGCTGTTTTCTAATCCCTGCAATAAAAAGATCCAATCTTCTGGTTTAAAATAACCTCACAGATCCATAAGGTGGATTTCATATTTCCTATGGAATCCTACGCCTCATGGCTGATTAAAAAACACGTAATCTAACTCATTACACTGGTTTAGTCATCAGATGAGTAATTCTATAATTCATTCAGCTGTTATCAGTATGAAGTATCTATTCAATTCAATTCAATTCAATTCAAGTTTATTTATAAAGCGCCAAATCACGACAAGAGTCGTCTCAAGGCACTTCACATAATAAAAATTCCAATTCAGGTCAGTTCATTAAGCCAATCAGAAATAATGTTTCCTATATAAGGAACCCAGCTAATTGCATCAAGTCACTGACTGGTGCCAGTGACTTTACAGCAATCCTCATACTAAGCAAGCATGCAGCGACAGTGGAGAGGAAAACTCCCTTTTAACAGGAAGAAACCTCCAGAGGATCCTGGCTCAGTATAAGCAGCCATCCTCCACGACTCACTGGGGATGGAGAAGACAGAACAGACACACACACACACACACACACACACACACACACACACACACACACACACACACACACACACACACACACAAGTAATGTGTCTACAGTTATATTGTGATGTCTTAGTAAATATTCTATCTACTGCACTCACCACTGCGTCCGTGTTGATCATCTGCCTGAGGAAGTCGAGCAGAGCTGAAAGCAGATCCGTAGAGTCCTTGTTGAAAGAAACCACCAGCCTTTTCAGCAGCGAGCCCAGCTCTGAGCCGTGTTTCCTCAAAGCGCTGAAACGAAACGACGAAATGAAGCGCAGGAAGCTGCAGACGTTGTAGCCGAACATAAAACTAGATGGAAGCGTTACACTTTGAGGTGGTAGAGCCCGTAATCGTGCTCGGTGAGGAATGTTAGAGTCCTGATGCAGGTGAGCAGGAGTGGGATGCTGCCATCTTTGTTTCCTAAAACCTCCAATAGAGAGTTACACACTGATGACATCATCTCCCGACCCGGGAGCGCGTTGGTCAGCTGTTCAGCCTCCGACGCGCAGCTTTCCCCAGGCGGGGGCACCACCAGAGAAATGTCCTGATGGATGCAAAATGTTTAAACGCTTTCTTCCTCCTCCTTTAGAGGTGTTGCTTATATCTGATGAATCTTACCTGGTCACACAGTGACTGTAGTATGGTTCCCACCAAAACGCTGCACTGCTGCTGCTGAAGGGAGTGGTCGGCCGGAGGGACGAGCAGAGACAGAAGCAAGGGGAACACATCTGCCAGCTGTTCGTCTCCGGACACGATGCCCGACAGCAGCTGTAGCGTGGTGCTCTTACAAGCCCTCTGTGACACCAGAGCATCCACCAAAGACAGCAGACGCAGGACCTGGCCCCAGCCCACGCTCTTCCCCTCCGCCCTGCAACGAGGAAGCGACGGACCTCAGAGGTGCAGCGTTAACGGAGGATCAGGGGCAGCGTTTGTGTGTTTTTGGGTTCACTCACGGCTGCAGCTCCTCCAGCAGCAGCTCCAACACGGTCTTCATGACGAGCGTCGCCGTGGTTGAAGACAAGTCCGCCAGCTGAACACACACTCTCCTCAGCATGGTGAGGAGGGGGGGGCAGCTGGTGGCACACACACATCTGAGCACTTCGAAAAGCACTTTCCACTGAGATCGGATGTGCATGCTCCACAGCTTCCTGGTGTTTAAGGCTATAGCTACATCCTGGACTGATAACACCTGTGGAGCACGGAAACGTGCACACACATTAAGAGGAGCTGTTAAGACGGGCGAGCAAGAGTGAGTGAGTGAGTTTGCTGCGAGCTACCTGAGTGCTTTGCATCGGCAGTGGAAGAGGCAGGAGCTCCGACAGCAGCGTCAGGCCTGAGAACAGACCTTCAGGGGCTTTCAGAAGACAGCCTAAAACCTCCTTTAGCATCAGGGACCACGTGTTACTGGCTAACGTCTCCTCTGTGTGAGTGACCTGCAGCAGACAGACGCGTCTCACTAACATGACTCACAAAAACACGTGCACAGACAGGCCTTCCTGTACCTCTGCGCTGACACCCTGAGTGAAGGTGAGCAACACGTCCACGATGAGCGCCTGCACTCTGGTCTCCTCCCCGTCCAGACGCCCTGACGCAGGAATGGAACACACCATCATGTGGAGCGTCACCAAAACGCTGGCAACACGCGTGTCCCTGAACTGGAAGGCGCCACCGCAGAGCAGCTCTGTCAGCATGGTGCGCAGCAGCCTGAGGGTGTTGATACATATGTTGAGAATCATGCAGCGCTGCGGGGTCGGGCCCATGTGTCCGTGCGCGCGCCACGGCTGCAGCAGCACGCTGCAGAGCTTCTGCAGGACACGCACGCACGTATCCAGACCCTCCCCAGAGAACAGCTGCACACCGGCAAGACTCCACTTCAGGTCTCTCTGCTGACCTGCAGAAAGAAAAATAATGAGATGAATACGCTGCAACGCCACAAGCGCCTGATGTAAGATGCTCTAAAGCGAAACAAGAACAACGAGTTAAACCAAATAAATCCACAAATAAACAAATGTTCCTTTTACCGTCAACGGCAGGAGGTGGACAGGCGATGTGACAGAGGACCCTCAGAGCCGTGACAAGTCCAGTTCCCTCAGCGTTCAACACATTCTCCACATTCTGACACACACACACACACACACACTGATTTATTATAATTAACAAGTTCCTCGGAAAACACGACACTCCTGATGGATCTCTGAATTACAAAAACATTTAAAGCAGAGTCCAGATCTGATTATTTCTACCCGTAATCAGTTTACAATAATAAAAAAATAAACATGCACCTTTATACATCCTAGGTGTGTTCTTGCTGTGTCGTATCTCTGATCCCATGCTGTAGTTCTTTTTTAAAACACAGAGCAACTCCACGCAGAAAGGCCGCAGCCGAGTTTCGAACTTGCAACCTTCGTGCTGCGAGGCAACAGTGCTAACCACTGCGCCACCGTGCAGCCCGGTGTTCATGAACATTCCTGCTGCACTTAAACAGCAAGTCACCCCCAAATCACCTTTTTTTCCTGATAAACGATATAACTGCGTGTCTAACCGTGCTGCAGACACGTGTCGTCAAAAGTTTTGCACTTTAGTGCATCTTAGTTAAACTTTTAATTTTCTGTCTAAAACTGTCAGTGTTGTGCCGTTGTCGGGTAAAAACTCTGCACTGCAGGTGAATTTAAATCTGCCATCGCTGTTGGCTAAGAGGTACCCTAGAACGTTAGCTGGTACCATATGATGTCACAACGTCGTGAGTGTGTGTATTTGTTAGCGGCTCCTAGGGATGGGTACCTTTGACATTTGAATCGATACTGCGCCAGTTCCCGGTACCTACGAATCGATACCGGTACCAATTTTTGATACTTTTGAGTGTTTAATAATTATTTAAATCACTTTTTTAATTACATATATATTATTTTTCCAATATATAAACATGTTTGATAAATATCATGATACAACTGTTTGTATTTTTTCATCGTAGTGTTGTATAAAATTCTTCATTATGACAACCTTTAACAACAACGGTTTCTAAATGAGGCAAAAACAAACCCAGCTCCATGTAGTCCTAATCCTCTTCTAGGCCCTCCGGAATAACTCTGATGAGGAGACCATATATTATAAACTACACATGAAACTAAAGCAAACGTCGACACCGTACAACAGTCTGTATTATAATATTGTGGTGTTCCACAAACTAAACCAGCTCGTGTACTCCTTTTCCTCTCCTTTCTCCTCTGGACAAACTGTGTGATGGTGGGTCCTTGTAGTTTTATAAACTACAAATTACACTGAAGCAAACATCTTTGCTGTGAACTAAATTTACTGTGCATCTTCGTTCCTTTTTGCCGTTCATTTTCAAACTGTTTATTTTTCCTACTCGGAAGATGGAATTTCCGAGGAGAAAGTGAACGCACCATTAGCGATCTAAAACAAATACGAAACTGTCAAGCTAACGCTATCTTCAACAGTTTATTTAGCTGCTGGAGCAGATTAAGATGCCTCATCCTCAGACCTTTATCGCTGGTTTCATCATCACCCAATAGTCCATCGCATTTAGTGAAGTGGGCCCAAACTTCTTCCTCTCTTTGTTTACAGCTCGCCCACAGTGACTGACGACGTTACGCTCTTGCACGTGGCACAAGTACCGAAACAAGGCACCGTTTCATAAGACATGAATCGGTACTCAGTCTGTACTATGGAATTCGGTCGGTGCCTTAAAAAGTACTGAATTCGGTACTCATCCCAGGCGGCTCCGCCCTCTCGGTCTGCTAGGCAACAGCATTTTTTGCATTTTTCAAACAGGAAGTGGGAGCGGAGTAAGAATCTGGTAGGGGGTGACTAGCTCTTTAAAGGAGCCTTAAAGCAAAATGAAATATTTAAGAAAAAGAAATGTGGAAAAACCAAGAAAATTCTAATGAGATGTGGATCAGTGAGACGAGTAATTAATGTCACTCCAATGCTTCTGAACAGCAGCACCTCAGCCGCCCTTCTGTTCAGGTAGAACTGAAGGTTAAAGGTCACCTGAACAGTAGGCAACAACACTGCTGTTTTGACCTGATCCCAACATTGGACCGGCTCTAAAAATACCTGCTGAGTAACGAGGAACTTCACCACTTACAGACCCACTTCACCAGCTCTCACCAACGTCTCAGATCTGTACCTGCTTGATGTAGCCAATGAGGGTGGGGATGCTGCTGATCTCAAAACGAAGTTTCTCCAGAGGCTCCAGCCACTTGCTGAGCTCTGAAAAACAAAAAATTCAAACATTCAGATTTTTTTTCTACAAAATGACAAAATGAGCACAAGATTAATGATATTTACCCTGCAGTTTTGCATTAGTGTCGTCTGCCTTTGCAACAGAGAGCAGCGGAGCAGCGTGTTGCTCCATCATCCTCAGCTCATTAGAGGTCTGGACCACCATTAAGAGCAGCATACAAGCATAGTTATAAGTCACTGCTTTGCGAGATTTGGCCTCACTGGAAGAAAAATGAAAACCAGTAAGATTGAAGCGAGGCAGAAGAACGTGGCGACAAAACCAGCTGAAGAAAGAGACGGCGGTACCCCTGTCCTTCCTTGCTGTGATGCTGGAGCAGAGTGACCAGACAGGACAGGTTGTTCTCCAAACTCAAAACGTGAGCCACAGCGCTGCGCCCCGTCTGTGTGAAAGTCATAAGGTAAAGCGCGTGGAGCATGCCCAGAACTTCTGAGTTGTCCCCTTCTTCGAGCCCCGCACCACCGTCTCCTCCTGCTGCCACGTGGCTCATGAGCTCTGACACACTCTGCAGAGAGTGCAGCGCCTGCATTAACCAGACACAAAACCCCTCCTCCCCAAACCCAGGCCCTGTGAGGCCTCCTTCTCCTCCCGTTAGCGCGCTCTCGTCGCCCTCAGACTCCGGCATGGAGGCCAGGAGACGCAGCAGGAGGTTGCTGGGTGTGGCCTGAGCCAAGAGGAAGAGCAGACCGGACTGGGTGACCGACAGGAAGCGAAGGAGGTCTTTGACAGCTTGGGTGACACTAAGATGGCCGGCTGCAGCTGCTGCTGACAGCACAACTGTAGTGCTCTCCAAGAAGTGGCACGAGTGCATATATCTGATGAGGAGAAAAAATGAGTTAAAATGCATCCTGTAGATCTATACCGTGAGGTTATGGTCTGTGCACGAGCACCTGAACAGCGCTGGGTAAGGGTTGTCCCTCTCCTGTGGTCCTGTTATTCTGACGGTGGTGGGGAAGGCTTTTCCAGGAGGCTGGACCATGCAGTGAGGAGCAGTCTCCAGAAGGTGATGAAGCTCCTCTAAAACCTCAGCAAGCCTATCAAGCTCAGCTTCACTCACAGGGGTGGAGCTTAGTGACGGCTCCTCTTCCATAGCACCTTCGGTCTCCTCCACCTCCTCCTGAGGACCAGATTTAACATTTGAATCATCAACTTACAAAACTGCTCTCACTTCAACTCGACTCCAAATGATGCTCATGAAACATATCCTCAAGTGTGGCGGCACCTGGTGCGGCTCGCTCCACGCTGTTGCTGCGTGTTGTAGGGCCGTCAGCACTTCGTACATGTGGCTTTTCTGTAGTATGGCGTTACCGGCCGTTATAACTCTGACTGTCTCTTCACGCAGGAACAGCTGGACTAAACGCTGTGAAGCACACGAAGCTTAGCGTCACGCTTTTAGCTGATAGCAAAAGAACCACGTCGGTGTTTAATACTCTTTCACTCATTCTAACCTGATAGCCGCTCTTCTCCGCATCTCTGGCGAGCAGGAAGGCTTCACACCCTGCTGGAGCGCTGATGAGAGCGTCCAAAGCTCTGAGGATGCTCAGCTTCAAAGTGGAGGAAACGTGATCAGCGTGGAGCAGCTCCAGCAGCACGTTCAGAGCCCCTTGGTGCAGCAGCTCCGTGAGGCCCGGTGGACACTCGGCTAGGCACGAGGCCAACTTTGCACCAGCTTTTAATTGTCTCAGGTTAAGGGCGATGGGTTGCGTAAGAGCAACCTCCATGCTCAGAGCTTGGAGCGTCCACCTAACTAAGTCTCTGATGGGTTCCTCCACCTCCGCCTGTCCTTGTTTAATTAGGTACGCCAAACCTTTGTTCAGCAGTCCAGGTGCATCCTCCAGAGCAGTAACCCAGCGAGCATCTCTGTCCTCACCCACACCAGAGAGAAGTTCCTTTAGCTGAGCGACAGCTTCACCTTCCTCTCCCTCTGCTGGGCCTTCTGTTCCACCGGCATCTCTGGGCTCCTCCACGGTGGTCTTCTCCAGCTGGGTATCAAAGCGAGTCTTATACGGAGGAGTGAAATAGACCAGGGGTTTGAGTTCTCGCTCATACGGATCAAACTGGACAGGTGGGACTGAGGCAAGATCCTCGGGGGTGTAGTCTATGTCGAAGGTGGGCAGCTTGAAGCTCCCGTTGTCCAAGTCGTCCTCATCGCTGGAAATCTGCTCGTACCCATCATCACCTGGGAAGAGGAAAACAGGCAACTAGGTTTAATAAATGTGTAGAAATCAGAGTGAGGAGGAGGAGGCCAGCGATTACAACTCGGTCTCTTCTTCAGATAAGAGTTGACACGCTCACAGATCTGCTTTACCACGGCACCACCGCTCCAAGCATGCTGGGTTAGTGTGGACATGCATGATGTGAGTACAGCACACGTTCAGGCTGTGAAAAGGCATCAGGTAAGCTTCCACACGACAGCAAAAGTCTCCAGAAAGCGCTCGGTGCACCATCCGGTGTTTGCAGACGGAGGCAGCATGCTGAGCAAACACCCGAGCTGCTGCTCAGACCCAAATGGACCCAGGCCCGTAACCCACCAGCAAGTCGGACGGCTCTACGTAGAGCTGAGGTTTTAGGAAAGGCCGGCGCCGAGAGCCCATTTGGGATTGCAGAATATCTTGCTCTCACGCAGGAACTTCCCTACATTCCTCCATCTCCTCCTCCTCACCCTCGTCTTCCTCCTCTTCATCCTCCTCCTCCTGGGCGCTCCCTTCCGTCCGTGCATCTTCCTCCTCCTCGCGCATCTCGTCTTCTTCTTCTTCACCCTCTTCCTCGGCGTCGCCGTCTGAGAATGCCTCATCAGCGGGCAGCGATCTTTCAGGAGACACGGCTTCCAGGTACCCGTCCCGACCCGGCTCCTCTTTGATTAAACCCACTGCAGAATGTGCAACAAGTGCTTTAGGGTTTCAGATCAACCCTGCTGTTAAATGTTGACTGTGCTAGCATTGTGCACGCTGCTAACCTGCCGCTGGAACTTGCTCCTCCTCGTCGTCATCTGGGGGAGGAGGTCCAGGCGGGGTCCGAGGCCCTCTGGGCGCTGGTCTGGGTGGGCTGCCATTATACTGGTCATCTTTTTCCCATTCTTAAGAAAAACAAACAATTACAAAAGTGTCTTAGCTCACAGCTAGCATAATCAAGCTCACAGCTAGCATAATCAAGCTTTGGTGTTTTATTTTGAGTTCGCTGGTTTGTTTCAGCGCTACCTTTGATGATCCTCTTGAGCCCACTTGGCTGTTGCGGAGGCGGGGGAGGAGGAGGAGGAGGAGGAGAATCCCGGCCATGGCCATGAGGGCGCTCGGCGGTTCCGTAAACAGCCAAAGTCAGACTGGTGTACCAGCCGCGCAGCACCAGCCCATCTGTGTTCACCTGCAAATAAAGTCACAATGAACTCATTTATTACAAATCAATAAAACATGATGGGAATGATCTATTTATGAAGGATGTGTCACCTTCCCACTGGGTCTGAACACAATGGACTTGTTCTCATCGTACTCCAGACTGAAGATAAAAAGAAACACAGGCAAGATGAAAACAACAAGAACAGAGAAAACAATAACAAAGCCAAACAATCAAAGATTCGGCTGGAGGAAGAGTTGATTAGAACACACGAGCTTCGTCACATTTACTTCCTTTTAGAGTTCGGTTAGATGAAGATGATCACGTGTTTATCTCTGGAAACGGATCATCCAGGCAGGTCCAGAGTGCAGTTTTTGTTTTTGCATTCTTCTGATTGAGAAAATTGCACATTTCAATCAATCTATTGCATGTTTTTTTTATCAGTTTAGAGTTTGCTTCTCAGTAAAATAAAAACTGTTTTTATTAAGCCTCACAGGTGCGCAGAAGTTTTCCCTGATATTCTCGACTATTGTTGCAACATATGAATAGAAACGCAGCAACTAATGTTTAACAGTTCTATAACTGTTGTTGTTTTTGTACCCACATTTCTTCCCCAACATGGTGGTTCACTAACGGGTGTAATAATTCATGCTTCTGACCTTACTGGATCAGAAAAACAGAATGTGTCCTCCGGCTAAGACATCTGGAGAATGACAAACTAGCTGCATCCTTCACAGGAAAAACATTGTAAACACTACAGTACTTTTCCCAAAAATAAATAAAAGATCACATGTGTTGTTTTACTGAACATGCAAAGTTAAATCCAGCTGAGAATTTTTTCTTTTTATTTGCCCAAGCAGAGTATTAACCAGTAATAACCTATTATTGTATTTGAATATGTAAAAAATAGACCCTGTTTATTTTATATTAGTCATAATTACACATAAAAAATTACCGGCTGTAAAAAGTGTCCAAACTTTAAAGACTGAGGGCCAAAAACATGAAGTTTACTGTCGTGCGAGCCACAAAATCGTCATTTTTGCTAGTTAAAAAAATAGAAAAATGATTTTATGTTGATTTGTTTTTATTTGAAGTGCTTAAATTTATGTCTCAATTTATTAAAAACCTGAATATAAAAATGTTAAAATGTGTGAATCAATATCCATCATTCAAGTCGTACAAAACCCTTCTGAGGGCCACAAACGGCCCCCCAGCCACACTTTGAACATGCGTGCTGTAATGAAATAAATGTATTGAGCCACTGGTCACGGCTTCCTGAGATGTGTTGGTGAGTAAATGTGGTCAACAAGCTCACTTTGATTTCAGTGACATTTTTCTAAAACATCATAAAAAGCAAAACAACTGGAAAACACACATCAGCCAAGTCTTGGTTTAGGAAATTTACACATAAGAAACAAACAGTCACAGCTTGAATGTTATTTAAACACTCATTGCACACAATTCAATTCAAGTTTATTTATAAAGCACCAAATCACGACAAGAGTCGCCTCAAGGACCTTCACACAGTAAACATCCCAATCCAGGGCAGGTCATTAAGCCAATCAGAAAAATGTTTCCTATATAAGGAACCCAGCAGGTTGCATCGAGTCACTGACTAGTGTCAGTGACTTTACAGCAATCCTCATACTAAGCAAGCATGCAGTGACAGTGGAGAGGAAAACTCCCTTTTAACAGGAAGAAACCTCCAGAGGATCCTGGCTCAGTATAAGCAGCCATCCTCCACGACTTACTGGGGATCGAGAAGACAGAGCGCTCGCACACACACACACACATACAATATATATATATATATATATATATATATATATATATATATATATATATATATATATATATATATATATCAAGTAATGTGTCTATGGTTACATTGTGATTTCTTAGTAAATATTCTATTTGGTGAGAGATAAACTTTATTGCATTTATCCTAGTGAATCTATCATTAAACGGGTAAACTAGTAGTAGCATATTCCACGTCAAAGAGAGTAAAATGTTATCAGGAGAGGGAGAATGTTTAAGTAGTTAGCAGCAGTGTGCTAGCCGATGGCCCCCTCCAAGCACGAGTGTCACACAAAATAAAATCCACCCAACTTTCCCAGCACAGACAATAACATGGGCGTGCCTTTGGCCTTAGCGAAAGTGCACCTTAACGTGCTCAGGTGCTACTGTCCACACCTAGCCTATTATGAGGGCAGGCTAAAAATGTCTGACTCAAATCTGTCCTCTGACATCAATGAGATCTTTACATTTTTGTGTCACTTTTAGCAACAATATAGGTGGGGTCGGGTTTCTGGACAGACCAGTTGGCCAGGGATGGGAACAAAGCCCTGAATAAGGAAGAGTACAACAACAAGCCTGCAAAAACAGGTCCCACATGCTGCTGTAACCGGTTTGACAGGTGGGACCGACTTCTCCATCTCAGGCACATTAGAGATCCAACAGGAAATGTTGAGGCTGAAAATGAGATGAGGCTAAACGGTTTACAATAACAACGGGACAGCGGGGAGGGTGAGAATCATTCCTACCTGCCCAGTCTGTGGAAGGTGGGGCTGTTGGGCTTGGCGACATTATTGAAAAACAGCTCCAACTGAAAAGCATGAGGAGACGTCTCGCTGGAAACAAAGTTAGGAAACAACAAGAAATAAAAAAAAAACAACAGCATTCAACAGCAAGAAGTCTCAAGACAGATCAAATAAAAAATGTTTTATGTAAATCTTCAAATCTAATATTACCAGATGCTTTATTTTTGTTAAGTTTAGAAAACTTTACATTGTCTAAGAAATCAGCATGTAAATCTAATTAAATTCATTCTTTACTGATAAAGGAGTAAAGATTAGGCACCACTTTATCCATCCTCCAGTTATTACATTCTTGAGAACACATTTTTTAATATAGGCAGTGTGTAGTTTTCACACTACTCAACAGTCTCAGCTAAAATAAGGATCTGCTCAGTAATGTGCTTCAGTTGTCAAAATCACTCACATCTTAGATTTATCAGCAAGTTTACTAGACACGCCACAAGTATCTACAGGACCTCAACCATTTTAACCCTCCCACTGTCTTTATGGGTGACCCCGCGAGGAAAGTTGACCATTGAGCAGGATTGATGGTTTATCCCCTGAGGTCCTCGTGGCAGGGGTGAGGTGGTGCTCACTCCTCACCCCTGCCACGTGGACCCAAGAGATAATCCATCAACCCTGCTCAATGGTCAACTTTCCTCGCGGGGTCACACCCGTTAATTGCATTGACATTATCCTGCAATTTGTCTTCTTTTTCCTGGTGCAGGTATAACTGGTTAGACCACATTCACCTAATCCACCTACTAATGCATTTACCAGAGCTATGCTTGAGCGTGTTGCAGCTCTTACCCAAATGCTCTGCTGTCAGGTAAGTTACTGTGAGCTTTAATTCCTGGAGGGATGACCCGCACCTCTGTGACCAGAACCCCGCAAGGAAACCGCACCACGTCCACGTTGGTTAACTAAAGGGCAAGCAACAGCAACTTTACAGACTCAGACAACGTGAATGACAACAAACATCCAGCTAACAAAACAGACGTTCTGCTAGCTTTACTTTTAACACTTAGCGTATTAGCCAGACTAACAAGAGAACAAACTATGATCTACACAAATGCAAAACACCGGTGACTGAAGTTGTTTGTTACAATAACCATATTTTCTTTTATAACCGTGTTAGACTCGTGAAATAAAAGTAGCAAAGTTATCGCTAACATTGCAGCTAATGTTAGCCAAGTTAGCGACCGTTAGCTTGAAAGTTGAACATCATCTTCCAAAACTTCTGAATATGACCAACACTGGTATCAATGCAGTTCGTCAGGAAGAGAATAAACAGGGATGTGTAAAGGACGGGGAGAAAATACCTCCGCACTCTGGTGCTTAAACGTTTCAAGAAAAAGAAGCTCCGTTGATGCGTCCCCTGCCATAGCTTCGCAGCGTTGGATGGGATATGGTAAACTTCCGGGTCAGTGTGAGTACATCCGGTTCAACCGCTAGCATCAGCGAATTAATTATTTATTTATCTTTTCTTTCTTTCAGTCACAACCATCGACACATAACCCGATGGTCACTACGCGCCTTTCAAATTAAATTAAATTAAATTAAATTAAATTATGATTTAAATGCTGGACTACATGACATTTGGTAAAACATTTGTGAGACTTTCCAAACAATCTATGTCACTCAGCTTGTGTAATATTTTTTTAAGTCAACTAGTCCATCCATAAAATTGTACATACATTTTTAGAATATTGCTTGAAACTCAAACAAACTTTGCAATTTATTTGTTTGTTTGTTTATTTTATTTGTTAAATTTATTAATTTAGTTGTTTTGTCAGCCTAAATTTAGTCAATATCTAGTCTACTTTAGTAAATTTCCTTTTATTTAATTACATTCATTTATGCCATTGTTTTAAAATAACTTTTAAAATAAAATAAAAAATAGCTTTAGCGGATTAAACAGGCCTATCACTGGAAGTTTTTTTCTAAATAGTTTCATGTAATTATATATATATTTCCTATGTAGAAATTATCATTTAGAAAAAGAAACTTTGGTTTTTCTTGGGAACAAAATTTAGTTGAATTTCAGAATCCACCAGCTGTGGATTGCTGTTATTGTTGACAAATAAACAGCCTTTCGACCCTGTAAATCCGTACATGTCTATTTACATACAGTTTCTGTCCTCCATTCTCTGCCACGTCCTAATGTTTAAACTACCTGAAAGGAGGGAGGGGCAGGTAGACAGTCACGTGGTCACACAGGTAGAGTTGCTGCTACAAAAACGGGGAGCGTTCAGCCATTACTCCGCGATGGTGACTGCGGGAGGCTCTACGTAACCATCTAACGCGACCAAACTTGGATTTACGGAGCTCACCTTTGCGCCCAGGTGTCTCTATAAGGGCGTTTCTACCTCCTGCCTCCCGCAGCGGTTTCAGCTACGTTTCTCAGTCCTGTAGTTGGGTGTAGTATTACTTTTGGGTTGTTTGTGTTCAGATGACGGCGCAGGTAGACTACCTGGTGGTGGTTTTCACCACCACATCTGGCGCGAGCGGAGAGCTGCTGGGGTCTGATGAGAAGGAGCTTGTGCAGTTGGTTTGGCAGCTGGTGGATGTAAAGAACAAAACGGTAAAAGGACATTTGTACACAACATGGGATCGGATTCTCTTGATCCCAAAGCAGGAAATGTAGGGATTTTAGGAGAAGACAGGTAGTGTTTTAGTAATAACTCATTCATAAAACTGTTATCAATGTCAGTTTAAATCGTCTACTGGGTGAAAAGATGGACTTTAAGGTTTATTGGATAAAAATGTGGGGAAACTGGTGCAGATGCTTATCACTAAGTCTAGAAATTCTGTCATCCCAGTTCAGCTCCAGTGGAAGCTCCTGTTTCCAGACTGACTTGTTTTCTTTTTCTGTGAACCAGTTGGGCAAGGTGAATGAGCTCCTCATTAAGCCCGACCTCTCAGACCTGTCGGAGGAAAAGGTGGAGGAAGATGTTGTGGAGGAAAGCAAAGAGGAGCAGAATGGGGAAGGGGCAGACTGTGTTTACACAGCGACGAGTCTGGATGGTGCTTTAAACACGGTAATCCAACTCAGTGGTCCAGAAAAACTCTTAACTTCTATAAACGATGCGTTCAGGTTAAAATACCGTGATGCGTCGTTGTTTGATTCCTTCTTTATCTGCTTTGTTGGTCAGTTTAATCTACAGCTGACGAACGAGGTGAACAGTGTGGGCGCGGGCACGTCGTTGTGTTTGTGTACAGACGGGCAACTACACATTCGTCAAGTGATTCACCCTGAGGCTGCAAGCAAGGTGAGTGAGCTGGGTTGGGCGGACGCCCCGCAGCCAGGGCGGATGTTGGCTCTGGTGCAGGAACCTGTGTCAGCGCTGTCAGCTGAATTAAATGTTGCCTTGGAAGTCGGTCCGTGGGGCAGAGGAACTCATGAAAGCCTGACCGATGACACGCAATCACACCTGAGCGCACGCCTCACCTGTGCACGTGCGGTGACATTCCTCCAAGAAAAGAAACAACATCTCACACACTTCCAGAGAAGGCTCCACTTGCATGAACAAACACAACGGTGTTGATGAAAGTCATAAACAGCTGTTCCTTCCGTGTGTTCCTCTCTGCAGAGCCTCCTGGTCCCAGATTGTTTCTACTCATTCTTTGACCTTAGGAAGGAGTTCAGGCACCACTTCCTGTCCTCTGACCTCAAGACTCTGAATTCACATGTCATGGCAGAGTGTATCCATCCATCTAACACAGTTCGACGTGTTTTCAGGTTATTTTAACTGTCGTTTCCTCATTTATTTATTTTTTAAATTTGAGCCTATACACTCAAATAAAAGCATTTACAAACCGGGGTGTTGGCTGCAGGGTAAGAGCTTTTGAAATGCAAATAAGGAAACGAATGACAGCCCTTTGCTGAGCTCCAGGTGAAGGAGTGTGTGTTTAGCCAACAGGACAAGCCCCACTGGTGCAGAAAAACGGACTTGCACCTAAAAACTCCACTTGCACACTCCTTGTTCTTTAACTCAGCTGTTTGGAGGAGTTTCCTTCCCTAACCGATTCCTCCTCAGCTCTCGGTATACCTGTGGAAGCTTCAGCCACGTGGGATCCTTCGGCCACTCAGGAGCCGCTGGTGGCTTTGCCCGCGGAGGTGGCCGTGGAGCAGGTCCGGCTTATGGCCAGCATCGTTCTCACGCTCCTCTCTGAACCATTTTGTGAGTATCGCATGTAAACATTAGATCCAAAGCAAGAAATACTTATTTATGTGGACAAACTGGATGCAACGTTTGCTTTTTGTTTATCTGCTATCGTTTGATTGTTGCTCTTCGTTACAGCTCACGTGTTTTCTAACCCAGAAAGAGTGAGCGAGAGGTTTGAAAGTGGCACCTGGTGAGTGATTAGTTCTTTAGTTTGTAATTTTGCATTAAAATCGGCCTCAAGTCCACTGTGTGTGTGTGTGTGTGTGTGTGTGTGTGTGTGTGTGTGTGTGTAGCAGTAAGATGGAGAAAGTGTGCGACGGCACCGTGATCAGAGCCAGAGGGTTGCCATGGCAGTCCTCTGACCAGGACATTGCTCGATTCTTCAGAGGCCTCAATATTGCCAAGTATGACGTAGACGTTTAGCAGACCTGCACACTCGCCGAGGTGTTTTTCAGGAGTTAACCTGGGGTTTGCTTTACCGTGTCGTGCAGAGGAGGGGCAGCGCTGTGTCTCAACGCTCAGGGAAGGAGGAACGGTGAAGCACTTGTTCGTTTTGTCAGTGAAGAACATCGAGACCTGGCTCTGCAGAGGCACAAGCACCACATGGGCAACAGATACATCGAGGTAGCCGGTGTGAAAACGGCTTTTAGTCACTAACCGAGCTTCAGCCTAAATTTGCATTTTGGTTTTGTGTGAACAACAGGTTTATAAAGCAACAGGAGAAGACTTCCTGAAGATCGCAGGAGGTGAGAGCGTTCCTGTTTAATCTGGTCACAGGGCACAATGCAACAGCTTAAAGAGCAAGTCACCCCCAAACCAAGTATTTTTTGCTGATAAACCATATAAATGTGTGTCTAATCGTGCTGCAGACACGTGTCGTCAATAGTTTTGCACTTTAGTGCATTTTAGTTGAAATTTAAATTTTCTGCCTAAAACTGTCAGTGTTGCGCCGTTGTCAGGTAAAAACTCTGCACTGCATTTGAATTCAAATCTGCCGTCGCTATTGGCTAAGAGGTACCCTAGAATGTTAGCTGGTACCATGTGATGTCACAATGTTGTTGTGAGCCTGTGTGTGTGTGTGTTTGTTAGCGGCTCCGCCCCCTCGGTCTGCTAGGCAACAGCATTTGTTGCATTTTTCAAACAGGAAGCAGGAGTGGAGTAATACTCTGGTAGGGGGTGACTTGCTCTTTAATCATTATGTTTATTTCTTTTATCTCGGCTAAAGCAAAGCAGCGAGTTTTCCAACAGGCCAAGCCGTTACTAAAGAGTCTGATACGTCTTTACTGATTTTATGTGACAAAAACTTGAAAAGAATAAAGAAAATGTCTGACTTTAACACGATAAGGTCAACCATCTAAATAAAACTCAAGGTTTCAAGGCAGCAAAGTCAAGTTTATTCTACGTTACCTTCCATGTTTGGAAAATGTAACAAATCACGTTTGAATCCACGAACCTTGTCTGTGTGTTTTAAAAGGCACCTCCAACGAGGCGGCCATGTTCCTGTCACGCGAGGACCAGATCATCGTGAGGATGCGAGGCCTTCCTTTTAACGCCACGCACGATCAGGTGCTGGCGTTCTTCTCGCCGGGAGACGGGCCACAGGAAGCGTGTCCGATCAGCGGCGGGAAGGACGGCATCCTGTTTGTGCGCTACCCGGACGGGCGTCCCACCGGAGACGCTTTCGTGTTGTTCGCGTGCGAGGAGCACGCCCAGTGCGCTCTGAGGAAACACAAGGAAATCCTGGGGAAGAGATACATCGAGCTGTTTAAGAGCACGGCAGCAGAGGTGCAGCAGGTGCGTCTGAGAGCCAGGACGAGTGAAATATCTTAAACTGCTGTTGTCCTGTTGGGACAACCTTTTTCTCTCTTCCTCCTTCTCGCGTCCTGTGCTGGTGACATGTAGTCATGAGGGTTAGTTTCCCTATCTTCATGGATGGATGAGCTTACAGCCCTCTGGCGTACCTATGCAGAGGTTTCTTCCCCCACCTGTTGGTGTGTGTGAGACTCACTGAGGCTTTATCAGCCCTCTCCAGAAATGCAAACACGCTGGTGTCCTGTTGGCTGCCAGCCAGCTCCTGTTGGGCAGTGTAACGCATTCAAACACGACGTGGACTCTGGAGTGTTTCTGCACACTTTATGTATCTCCCAGTGTTTGCTTAGTTCGTTAAGACAGCTGATAGGAGGGATTCGTGTAAATGTTTTATTATCTATAGCACAAATGTTTCCCGAGCTAGATTAACTCACTGACGGTCTTTGTTTGAGGCGATGCGTGTAACTTGAAACCGAGTGTGTTGCAGGTTCTGAACCGGTACTCGTCAGCCCCTCTGATCCCTGTGGCCCCAGCCCCCCTGGTTTCCATGCTGCCCACAGTCTCTCTCCTGCCCCCTCCTGGTGGTGTGAGGGATTGCCTGAGGCTGAGAGGGCTGCCATACACAGCCAGCATAGAGGACATCCTCACCTTCCTGGGCGAGTTCACGCAAGACGTGAGACCACACGGCGTGCACATGGTGCTCAACCAGCAGGTGCATGCACGAACCACATCGACACACCCGTCACTCCCAAGCTTTGCTGAACGTTGTCTTCTGTGGCCGCAGGGCCGTCCATCCGGGGACTGCTTCATCCAGATGGTTTCAGCGGAGCGGGCGCTTCAGGCCTCGCAGCGGCTTCACAAGCACATGATGTCCAGCCAGCGCGGCGCCAACAGCCGCTACGTGGAGGTGTTTCCCTGCAGCCAGGAGGAGATGGGCCTGGTGCTGATGGGAGGCTCGCTGTCACACACGCATGCACACACACACACCCGGAGCAGGAGTGGGACAGGGCTCAGCCCGCCGCCATGTAAGTCCAGACGTAAGTGCTGCTGGGAGCTGGGGGTGCTTCGGGAACTGCAGGGTAGGTGGGCTCCTGTCGGGGGGGGGGGGCAGGGTTGCTGGGTTTCCTCCAATCTAGAACTGAGGGAGGATGGGGAGAAAGATTCATAACTGTGTGTGTGATTTTTCCTTGTAATTTAGTCTGATCTGCATGAAAACTTACGTTTTGATGGGTTGTTGTTTCATTTTTTCTTGTGTTTCACACATTCTGATGGAAACTGCAGTTTAACTCTTCGGTGGCACGTCTGCCTCTCACCACAAAGATCTGAAAAGGTTGGAAAGGTGCAAGCAAAGTAATCTTAAGTAGAGCACAATCCGGCAACGTGGCTCACAGCTTTCTGATCACATCAGATCATCGTGGTGGTTGTGGGATTCGGCCAAAACAGACAAGCACACCTGAGCAGAGCCACTCCTTTGCTTGTCCAATCAGCAGCTGTGGGGAGAGGTGGGCGGAGCTGGCGCGTAGTTGTGCTTTGTTCTTTGTGTCTGTTCACAAATAAGACTTTAACTTCAGTTTGGAGGAACGGGTACTGACCGACGAGCTAACAGCTAGTCTGAGTGGTGCAAAGATTGTTGGCTCTTGTGAAATATCGTATTATGTATTTCTGCCACAAGAGCCAAGAAATGCTAAAGCAATGGCAGTGGAAAGGCCTCAGACTAGCCGTTAGCGCTTCAGTCCTCATTAATCCGAACAGATTTGAACTGTTTCTCCAAACTGAAGTCATTCAAACTACTACTCACAACCTTTCCACAGAGCCCTACTTTTGTCCAAAATGACCCATAATAGAACTTGTGTTGTTATGAATTTCTGCCCGTTAGAAACCTGCTGCGCTACAACGCGTGTCGGCCGTGTCACACATCTGTAAAGACCGACGGCGGTCGTCGTTTGCATGAACTCTTGCGTCAGAAATGACCCAAACAACGACCAGATCCACGGCTCTGGGCCCTTCTGGTTCTGGCGGTGACACTCTTTCCTCTCTCTGTTCTCGTTTTATTTTCCAGGTTTGTCTCCACCGTCGTACTCCTTCACGCCTCTTCCACCTGTCCTGTCCACAGAGGCTGCTGCTCTTTACCCCCCCATCGGGCAGATGCTGTTGACCCCTCGACCCCTCCCGCCTGGACACGCCTTCTACCCTGCCTCAGCTCAGCTGTACATGAACTACACCACTTACTACCCCAGGTAAAGGCTCGTCGCTGTCGGACTAACGTTTTAATTTTCTCTGGTTAACTCGACAAGTCAGGCGTTCATGTTTCCCGTCATCCCGAGGTTGCATTGATTGGTGTTTGCACAGTAAATTTAGCACACACAGTAGCCGCTCTGCTGCGATGATAGAGCTACAGCGTGTGCAGACCCAAACAAAGCCCTCAGCGTTTACTTATGGTTGTTAATTTATTAAATTCTTGAGTTTGTCAGCCTGGTTGATGTTATTACAATGTGAACGGGATTACTGCAGACAAACGTTTAAAACTGAGAGATTCTTGTTGAACACGAGCAGTTTTCAGAAGGTTGGGTTGGAAACTCGAACTTGTGTCGGTGATTCTGTTTGAGGGTCAGAGTTTTAAAGCAGGAACAGACCGGCTGAAATGCCAAGGAGAGCGACGGTGACAAGGGTAGTTAATAACTGAATGCTGCGTTATCAGAGAGCTCGGTAAACTTCAGATGACCTCCGCGTCTCGCTGGCTGAGAAAAGCTCTTACGACAACACCCACTCAGAGGCTTCTTATTCCTGCCGTATCATCCAGAATCCTTTCATTTGTTCAGGAGGTCGTTCTTCCTCTAAACTCTCCCTTTTTTCTTTTAATCGCTACAGTCCTCCAGGCTCTCCTACGACTTTAGGTTATTACCCCGCCCACTCGTCCTCGGGAGGGTTGGTGCGGATGCCGGCGCTGTCGTACGGCGGCAGCGGAGTAAAAGACCTCATTAGTGCAATGCAAGGATACCAGGTAATAAACAGTTACACACACACACACACACAAGCACACACACACACACACACACACACACTTGCATTTATATGCTTGTGTGGACCCTCAATTGACTTCCATTCTTTTCTTTCCATTTTTCTGACTCCACTATGCCTAACTCATACCCCAATCCTAACCATAACCAATGTTGATCTATTCCTAACCCAAACAATCCTCTAAAACCACATTTTGGGTATTTTCACATTGTGTGGACCAGCCAGATGTCCCCACACTACAGGTAAAAGTCCTCCAAACACGCCCACATCACCCCGCTTCTCCTCCAGCTTCACTGGCTGCCAGTCAACTTCAGGGTTCATTTCTAGATCCTGGTTCTGGTCTATAGGGCCTTACATGGACAAGCACCATCTTACATTGGTGATCTTCTTAGTCCCTACACCCCCAGCAGGTCCCTGAGGTCCAGTGACCAAAGCCTACAGGTTGTGCAGCACCAGGCTAAAGGTCAAAGGTGACAGATCATCTGCTGCTGTGGCCCCCAGACTCTGGACCTCTCTCCCCCTGAGCCTGAGATCAGTGGACTCAGTGGTCTCCTTTAAAAAGCAGCTGAAGACTCACTTGTTCAAGCTGGCTTTTGTATGACCTTCTTCACCTCTCTCTCTTTATTCTGCTCTCCCCACCTATTCCACCTTCCTCAGGATCCACTGATTTCCCTCTTTCCTGTTCACTCTCTCTCTTTCTTAACATTTTTAATCACAATTGTCTATTTTTGCTCATTTTAAATATATTTTTAACCATTTTCTAAATTCTTTTTTATATTTTTACATTTTTTGTTTTAGTGAAGCGCCTCGTGACTTTTATCTTGAGAGGCGCTATAGAAATGATACTTTCTTCTTCTAAAAGTAAAAATTTGTCCACACAAACCTATAAATACACACACACACACACACACACACACACACACACACACACACACACACACACACACACACACACACACACACACACACACACACACACACACACACACTCTGCATGAGTGAGTCACATGCAGTCTTTTATTCAAATCTCCTTCCATGGGTGTGTGCATCGTCAGGTGTCCTCTCTGGTTGCTAGAGGCTATCAAACCCGTTTATCCTGTCTCCTCTCCTTGTTCTGTCACACATCTACTGCAGCTTGCTTCAACTTGAACTCAAGTTTGAATTGTTTTGCTGACAAGAAAGTGGAGAATGTGCGGGGTGAGAGGAGATATTTGGAGTTTATCTTTGAAGCAGTCAGGAGTTGAGTTTTCCTCGTTTTTCCCGTCCGCCCTGTGTTCTTTGTCAGGTCCGTTTTTGCTCTTAGGGAAATGTTTGTGGTTCGAATGTGTTTATTTCATTCCTCCCCTTCCCTTCCCTCCCCCACACCGCAGTACGCTCCCGAGGATGCCCTCGTCCACGCTCATGGGTCCATGCACGCTCACGACCCAGCCAGGACGTTGCTAACGCAGCCCAAAGAATGGGTGTGTATTTCAGGTGTCTGAGGCAGGTGGCAGGTAAGGCTGAAGGCTTTAGTTGGGAGGAGCCCATGTTCTAAATTCATGCTGTCCTATCAGAGTGGCTAGAGGAGCTTTCTTGGATCTGACCTAATTTTGGGTTTTGTTTTGAATCATTTTGATTGGGATTCTTGGTGGACTTCTGTCCTGTTGAAGGACGCAGCGATGGTGGAGCGAGCCAACTGACTGTTCACTAAACCGCCCCGTCACAGTTTAGCACATAAAAACCAAAACTAATAAACATTAAAGGTGTGGAACACTGAAAACCCCATGTTCTATTGGTTATTTCTGATTCTAACGGGTCATTCTGAGTGTCTCACGCAGGCTGAACATGAAAATAGTCTCCTACACCTATCTCCTGCGTTAGCTTCTGATAGAAAACAGACGGTGAAACTCTAGGATTAGAAAATCCTGACAGATCTACGTCACCCTGTCACGAACATTCATGGACTCACCCATCTGGACTCACGACGGGGAAGGCTGTTGTTGGTCTAGCGTCCAGGAAACAGCAGAGAACGTCTCAGCTAGTAGAAGCTAACATTAGCATTAGCATCTTCACCACACAGCAGAACTCCTCCAGGCTTGTGTTATTTGCAGAGATAAAACATCAATGTCGCAGAGAGAGAGTCAGCGGTAGAGTCATGCTGCCGTTAGCCAATCAGAGGAGAGATGTCCACATATCAGGAAGTAAGACGCTAAATCCTGACGTCTGAAGCTCATCTGTGATGTGGCTCCCTGCTAGCTCCTGGAAAGGGTGCAGCAGGTCTTTGTCCCCCCCCCCCCCCCCCCCGAGTACGACAAGAGGCCACTGCAGATGTGCTGATTGAACGAGTGAGCCACACTTTCCAGCCTCTCCCTGCGTGAGAGCCGGCGTTGTTGGAGTCAGACCACAACAAGCCAGCCTGCAGAGAAACGAGCAGCAGCTGAGCGCGGAGCTTTTAGCAGCTCGGCTGGGATTCACACCACCTCATTAGGAGCATGTTCACAACCACATGATGATAATTTGATGTTTCTGTAACAAATCAAACCGTATTAAAACATTTGCACAATGCAGAGTAAGCTTTGAACTGTGGCATTCATCTGATCAGGTTGAAAAAATCCTGGAAAATATAGATTTTTAATTAAAACCCAGAAAATCCGACTGAATGGACGACGGGGCTGAGTCGACAGTCGGTTGTTGATGTTGTAGACGGTAGAGGAACAGCCTTCAGGAAGCAGAGGAGGTGATGGGGAACACCTGGTGCCGGTGGAGGAGCTCCCTTTTGTTTAGAGACAATAACGCTTCAGTGTGTCTGTCTCTTCTTCTCTCCTCCTCTCAGAGTCCCATGGAGACCGTTTCCCTCCTGAGCAGCGGTCTGATTGGTCAGTCCAGCGGTGGAGACGCTCCTCTCATGTCCCTCCCAGCTCTCATGACCAAGCCAGCAGGACAAGAGTACCTGGATCTGACCCTACTGTAGCACAAACACCAGAAAAAGTCACGTGACGAATTTTTGTATGTGTCAAGGACTCGTTAGCTGTTTTTATAAATGGTCTTTTAGTTGTATTATTTATATCTTTAGATAGAGAAATAAATGTATTTTATACCAAATTTATTGCAACCTTAGCCAACAAAATGTTTTTATATTGCACAGTCTTATTTTAAAAGCTTTATAGAGATTTTTTAAACCTGATGTGTTGTTTTCACTATGAAACGTTCGTCAGCCAAACTAGAAGAATCATCTTTCCTGTGTGTGTGTGTGTGTGTGTGTGTGTGTGTGTGTGTGTGTGTGTGTGTGTGTGTGTGTGTGTGTGTGTGTGTGTGTGTGTGTGTGTGTGTGTGTGTGTGTGTGTGTGTGTGTGTGTGTGTGTGTGTGTGTGTGTGTGTGTGTGTGTGTGTGTGTGTGTGTGTGCGTGTGCGTGTGTGTGTGCGTGTGTGTGTGCGTGTGCGTGTGCGTGTGTGAGCGGGTGTGTGTGTATGCGAGCATGTGCGTGAGAGCGTGTGTGTGTTTGTGCGCGAGCGTGTGTATGCAAGCGTGTGCGTGAGAGCGTGTGTGTGTGTGTATGCGAGCATGTGTGTGTGGGTGCGAGCGTGTGTGTGTGTGCGTGAGAGTGTGTGTGTGTGTGTGTGTGTGTGTGTGTGTGTGCGAGTGTGTGTGTGTGTGTGTGTGTGTGTGTGTGTGTGTGCGAGTGTGTGCGTGAGAGCGTGTGTGTGTGTTTATGCGAGCATGTGTGTGTGGGTGAGAGCGTGTGTGTGCGTGTGCGTGTGTGTGTGTGTGTCTGTGTGAGCATGTATGCGAGCGTGTGTGTGTGTGTATGAGAGCGTGTGTGTGTATGTGCGTGAGAGTGTGTGTGTGTGTGAGTGTGTGCGTGAGAGCGTGTGTGTGTGTGTGTATGCGAGCATGTGTGTGTGGGTGCGAGCGTGTGTGTGTGTGCGTGAGAGTGTGTGTGTGTGTGTGTGAGAGTGTGTGTGTGTGTGTGTGCGAGTGTGTGCGTGAGAGCGTGTGTGTGTGTTTATGCGAGCATGTGTGTGTGGGTGAGAGCGTGTGTGTGTCTGTGCAAGTGTGTATGCAAGCGTGTGTGTGCGAGCGTGTGCGTGAGAGTGTGCGTTTGTGTGTGTGTGTGTGAGAGAGAGCGCGTGTGAGCGTCATGCGTGTGTGTTTTATCACATAAACTGTTGAATACTTGGCGTCTGTACATAGGTCTGCTACGACACACACGCTGATTGTGTTGAAGCTTCAGTGCATGAAGAAGTTCTGTAAAACCTTTAAGCTGTTTGTTCACGTGACGCCGACTGCAGATGCACTGCTGATCAGTTAAACTAGAGACTAGTAAAGCATCCTGTGTTACACTGCCAGGCTGACCGTCCTGATTCTTTAGATTTTATTTTGCATGAGTGCTCCCAACTTGTCAGCCTTCATCTCCTCCTGCCCTGCACGGATGGATCTCCCTGTTGTTTCATGTTAGCGACGGCCCGGACCTGAACGGGGGACGCAATAACATGATTGCAGTCCTCCATCGGACTCCAGTCACAAGTTCTCAGCTCATCAGGCTAATCTCAGGAGTCTGAGGTGGTTTTTAACCAGTTTTCTATATTTCTTTCATTCATCCCTCTTCTGGATGTTTTCAGCTGTGATGATTTCACAGAAAATTATTGAACAAAAGCAGACGAACTCTGTTCATTGCTTCTGAATTACTCTAAAGTAAAGAAGCTGAAGAACATGTTTGACATGTGAACTTTAGCCTCCGTGTCCCTGCAGAGGTGACGGATGAGCTCTGTGCATGTTTTCTTATGTAGGTGCTCCACGCCCTGCTGCAGACGTGCTAAAAACTCAATAAACAAATCAAGTTTGCAGCCTCCGTGTGCTTGGTCTCACCATTTACCTGCCGAGTAACGCGTTTCTTCTTGTTGCGCACCTCATGAAGGGACTCGAGGTAAACGAGCACAAACACCCAGGTGGAGTCGTAGGACGACAGAACAGGGCTCAAAGTAAAACCGAGGGAACTCCCAAACTCCGTCCTCAGTGATTACACACACACACACACACACACACACACACACACACACACACACACACACACACACACACACACACACACACACACACATCCCAGCAAAGAAGGCATTGCCACCCAGGAGACTCATATGTGAGAGAGGTAGGCATTTGTTCCTCCCACTGGGTAAAGAGGGAAGAAAGAAAAAAGCAGGCAAAAAGTTATCACCCCCACCCCCCAGGGCAAATTGGCCATTGTGTAATCCAATCTTGTGCACCCCACCCAGCCTGATCTCTGCAGGCTCTCTCACAAGACAACACACCCACTCTGTCTAAACCTGCACATCACAATCCCTTCAGCCAGACTACAACTATTCTCAGCGCTTAAGCGTTTTATTTGTAAATGTTCTGTTTTGAATTAAAAATAACACATTTTTACTATTTAAAGGGGACACATGACTGTTTTTCATCTGTTATAAAAGTTCTATGATCAATAACAAACATGTTCACGACGTTCTTTGCTCTAAATCTCTCTAAGGGATTTAACATGACGTGATCTCAGCAGCTTTTCAGTACCGTCCAGAATGAGCCGTTTCAGGGCTGTCGCTTCAAGAAAACAAGCTACAGCTGGCTACGCCCACCCAGGCTGCTGTAGGCCGAGAAGCTCCGACATCCGGGATGGGCTGTGAGTAGAGCCGCTGCTCCTCCTGCAGCAGCTCTCTCTTGCAGGTGAGAGGTGGTTAGTGACATCACAAACGAGGACTTTTGTTCTGGGCACAAAATTCCTAAAACCAAACAATGATGGGCTGAGTTTTCTTTCACGTTTGGAGGCAGTAGAGACCCACATAGCAGCAAATAGATGGAAAATGTGAGTTTTGCATAAAATGTCTCCTTCAAGACTTACAGCCACAGACCAGATTAAATACATTTAATTTTTTAAGAACTGGAGCAAAGTAAGAATAATGAACCACTTTTTCCTCTCTGGGGGTGAGGGGAGTTGGCGCCTGTCCCCGGTAAGGAGGTGGGGGACAGCTTGGACAAGACTCCATTCCCTCACAGGGACAAAAACACCTTAATCCTGGTCTTCCCTTAACCTAACGTGCATGTTTTTGGTCTGTGGGAAGAAGCCAGAGCACCTGGAGAAAACCCACGCAGAGAAAAACATGCTAACTCAGGGCTGAAAGTCTGCAGCTGGGTTTCAAACCTGCAACCTTTTTGCTACGAGGAAACAGTGCTAGCAACAGCGCCACCGCGCAGCCTCCATCTTTTACGAAACTCAATAAAATCCGCTTTAGATTGAAAATAATTGTGTGTTAAATTGTACATTTTGCACAAAACTGATGCATGAAGAAAGATTTTTTTCTCTACGGCGGGAATTCAACATCAGACACGTTCACTTTGTTCAAACCAGGAAGATTTTGTTCATCTCTCAGAGGTTTTATAAGTAAATCTCGAGTCGAGCTTTTGTGGTGCTTCTTTATGAATCCAAGCTTCGACTGATAAATGACTGAAAAAATAATCTGATTCTTCTGCAAAACGTTTCCTGAAGTTCCTTCAAATCCAGATTCAAGCAGCTTTGTTATCTCAACTAGAGGAGTCAGTGAAGAAAGGTGCAATTAACAGGCTGACTCACCTGAGAGGTGCAGCGGCAGATGAATCAGTATTAGCCTTTATTATCACAGCATTCCCTCACAGGGAGGGTGTGAGACACACACACACACACACACACACACACACACACACACACACACACACACACACACACACACACACACACACACACACACACACACACACACACACACACACACACACACACAGGGTGAGGCCGAGCGTTAAAGCAGAGGCTGAAGAATCCAAACTGATGATGAGGCCTTTGCTGAGCTCCAGCCAGCGGCACAGGAAAC